CGCCGGGGGGCGGGGGAGGGAACAGCAGAAGGGGGGGGGGGGGGGGGGGGGGGGGGGGGGGGAGGGATCGCTCTGAGCACTCGGAGCTGCATATTTTTATCCAGCATGTGCTCCAAGCCCCCTTTCAGGGCCGAGCCCTCCAAGGCAGGGCGGATAAAGGCAGAGACATTCATAACCCGGAAAAACAGCAAGCCCTCCCGCAGCCAGCAGCCAAACGCACCCGCGTTCAGAAAACCGCCAGCAAGTCAAGCGGAGCAGGGCCTTGGGCCTTCCCACAGCCTCAAAGAGGGGTCGCGGATGACCCCAGAGCGGACACTCATTCCAGAAATGGGGCACTTTTTAAATGACTGCACGGCTCCATCGTTTGCGTTGTGCCCATGCACTTCTGGAAAGCCAGGAGGTATGTCAGGGCCGTGGATAGCAAAGGCTCGCCGTGCCGAGGCGGGCATGAACTGCACCTTTGATTCATGCCTGGAAGAGGATGTGGGAAGACAGGAAGAGCAGGAGGGACCCTACGGCAGAACCCGACAGCGACGCCACCCCGCTCTGCGGCCCACGCGGTGCTTGCAGCCTCTGCCCTCCGGAGCCGGCAGCCTCCACCCAGGGCGCAGGCAGGGAGGCCGCCCGGGGCGCTGCCTTCCCCCAAGGGAGGCCGGAAGGGGCCTGCACAGGAGGGCTCTGGCACGGAGAGGTGGCCCCACACAGTGGGGTGGAACCGAGCAGGGGCCGCGGGGGAAGCGCTCCTAAGGCGGGGATGCCGCTCAGGGGCCCAGGGGCAGCCTTGCACAGAGAGGCCTCAGCCCCCTGGCCGGCACAGGCCCCCTGGCACCGAAGGGTGCCCCCCACCCCGGCCGGGAAGCCACATCGGCCCCCTGGCTCAGGGCTCTCGCAAGCACCAGGCCAGCCCTCCTCCTCCGCCTGCGGCGCGTCCTCCTCCCCGGTTCTGGGCCCGGGGCTGCGCCCCCGCGCCCGAGGAGGGGCGTCCCTCTGGCCGGCCCCAGGGAGGCCCAGCGCCCGCAGCAGCGCCTCCGTTTCCAGCTCACACAGAACGACTCCCGCCAGGAGCTACAAAGCCCTGGCAGGATCCCGCAGGGCCCCAAACGGCACAGGGCCAGGGGTGCAAATGATAAGGGCCCCTCGATAGGGGCCCCTCCACTACGCAAAGGCATCCGCTCAGCAGGCCTGGCGATCCGAAGGAAAGCAGCGAGCGGGCGAGCGCAAAACGCTCCGGCCTTGCGGGAAGCGTCTCGCCAACGCTGGCATGTATTTGTACTTGGGTTGCATTCATGCTCACGACAGCCCTGTGAAGTAGGCCAGGCCGAGGCAGCGTCCGGCCCAGAGCCGCCCGGCGAATCCCACGGTGAGCGAGGACTAGAACCCGGATCTCGCAGGCGCCCAGCCGCAGTTTCTAGCCACTGCGCCGCACAGCCTCACGCGAGGGCAGGCGTGGCGCGAGCGGCCGGCTGCGGCCGGGGGTCAGGCTAGATGGCCGGAACCCTTCCGACCCGCGCGTCCCTGCTCCTGCGGGATGCCGTGCAACGGGACCGCGGCCTTCCCCGGCCCGAGGGAGGCAGGCCCGGCACCCGGGACGAGCGGCGGCCCAGCGCGGAAGCCCCGGCGCGGCCCACGGAGGAGCCCGGAGCGCCAGCCCCGCGTCGCTCGGCCACGGCGCCGGCGCCGGCGCGGGCAGCCCGGCCTCCCTCGCGGGGCGGGGGGCGGGAGCGGGAGCGAGCGCCGCCACCCCTCCC